AAAAAAAAAAAAAAAAAAGTCTCATGATTTTTAGACGTTACACATATTATGTATACGTAAATAAAGAATAAAGCTATTGTCTTCAAAAAATTAGGTATCCATAATTATCTTCCTCTCACTCTGTGACTACATTTATATAAAAATAGATACTAAATCTACAGGCTTTCTTTTTAATTCCCTTTCTTTAGAATTAGCACTGGTTTTCAAAGTTGATTTCTTTTCATTGTTTTCATAAAATCTGGGATCATTTTATAAATTTCTTGTGTAACACACAAAAGGTTATTAAAGATGATAAAATGACACAGGAAGTATGCAAAATGTTTTCATCAATCTGGAGAGAAAACTGATAGACAAAAACAATATTTATAAAAATTGTTAACCACTAACTTTTTAACTTTTTACATTTTACTCTTCTTAATGATTTGAATAACAATTCTACTTTAAGAAGTAATGAAATAATTTGATTTTTTAAACAATTTTTATCATAAAACATTCACAAAAACTCACAGAAATTATTCATCAAAATACAAATAGGAGAGGGAAAAACTATAAATTGCATACCTTGAGAAATATGTAAGAATAAGTAAAGCAAAAATGCTACTTTCTAACCTAGAGAGCAAGACTAGCAAAACCAAACATTTGAAATAGCAAGAAGTTAATAGATATATGTACTCCAATATAACCATTTCAATTCTAAAAATTTTTTCATAATAAAATCTTAGAATTAAATTCAGAAATAGAAAGAAAAATGAATTTGAAAATGTTTCTACTACATGAGGAAGTGGATTGCAAACTACTAATATTACCTTCTATTCAAAAGCTTTAAGATATTATTCCTCATAATATGAGCATGAAATGAAAAAATGTCTACATGCAAAAATAAATTCTGGACTTCATATCTACACTATGATTAAATCAACAAATACAGATCTTTGAACAAGATAATTTCTGAGCTATATGAAATTTTCATATTTTAATGGTAGTAACTGAAAATGATCAGTATTCTATTATCTTTTAACTTAAATGCCAAAAATAGGAGGAAAGCCTTGGATGGAAAGCTAGTAAAGAACAGAAACAAATCTGGAAAAAAAAAAAAAAAGAAAGAAAGAAAGAAAGAAAAAGAAAAAGGTGGGTGGAAGCGCCTTACCAGTTTTGGGTGTCAAACTCAAATCTGTGTCAGAAGAAGAGGACTGTCGACTGTAGGACTTGGAAGGTGAAAAGGAATAAGTTTGGTTTTTCAGAGGGGTTGAGGGTCCTGATGAGTGAGTATTGGGATTGGGATCTTCATTGAAGGGAATCCTGCCAGAAGAAGGTGGAGAAATATTAAGCAATCATGTGCCAAAGGACCTGACGGAAGGCAGCATGATCCAAACACCAGGAATATATTGGGCAGGGCCAGCAGTCATTTCTTAACTGTGGAGCTGGGTATGAGGCCAAAGACAACCAATTGCTGTTTAACCATTCATCATTCTCCAGATAAATAATTATCTGCACTGAAACAGTTAATAAGCCAAGTAAATAAGCAAAAAAGCATGAAATGACAGACTAAGGGGGTAAAAAATATTAAAAGGAAAAGTAAACAAAAAAAATAAATACATGACTGAAAATACTTTCAAATAAACAATGCTTTTTTAAGTTACAAAGAAAAAATGATGCAAATGGTGTGTGCAAATATTCAGAATAGTTTTTATATTTGCACACACAGATATCTTCAAAAGAAAAATGTTTCCTTATCCTATAGCATCAAGAGTGCCACAGCTAAAAACACAGCAGAGAGAAAAATGAATATAGCTACACAGAACCATTGCATTTTATGCAGAAGAGTTGCTTACCTGTTTTCCAACAGCTCTCTTCCACAGAATAAAACAGACCCTACTATGTAACAGGTTTTGTACATAAATAAAATAAGAAAATCAGAAGCTTTGACAGCTATTTCATTTAGAATCCAATCATCAATTTTATTTCTAACCAAATGCAGAAATAATGGCAAAACACATACTGGAGGATACTCCTAAGTCTTACAGGATGCATACATAAAGATAGGGTTCTTACAGGATCTATGGAAGAAACTTTGGAAGCTAGAACACTTTCACTTCAGAGTAGTGAGAGCCTCTGTGGTGGCTACATACTGGATTTCTTCACTGCAGCTGGACTTCAAGTAAGAAAAGGAGGAAGCAAAGACTTGTGGCACCTGCCTACACTACGCTACCTGCCTGCCTGCCCTTTACAGCCACTCTGCCTGTGGCCTGCCTTCCCCAGCTCTGGAGTCTGAGCAGTCTCGTACCAGTATAGATGAGAGTGGGAACAGACACAGAGAAGTTCTGAGTAAGTCGTGAGCCAGTAGCAGTGTGAATTGGGCTGTTGTGAGTCGAGCGGCATCCATGGCTTGGAGGATGAACCAGCGGAGACCTGAGGGAATTTGTAGTCAAAGTGGAAGAAAAGAAAACAATACATACAACAGATAGCAAAGTTATGTTAAAATAATTTCAAAGGAGCTTTAGTTAGGGGAGAGGAATTTTTAACCCCCAACATGCAAAAAATCAGAATGAAATTTAAAAAGAATAGCTAAATACTAACTTGTTAGGATACAGTTATAGTTTTAAGGGATCAGATTAATAACCAGGACTGTGAATAAGAAAAACAGTAATAGTGGCATTAAATAAGAAAGACTAAGATTTGGATTCTGAGTTGCTTTAAAATATTTTTGATCACCATAAAGTTTACTACACGGGGACAAAACACCCATAAAAATGAATAGTCAAATATAAAGCTCTTATGCTGCTTCTGAAACTGAATTCATGAAATTATATTTTTCTATAAAGAAAGTTTAACAGCTGTTTCTGTCTATAATAGCAAGACAGTGGTACTAAAGAATATGAAAATGACAGCATAAAGAAAAATAAACTAAATGGATACAAGCAAATATAAACATTCCAGTATTTCAGCACTCCAAGTATATTGCTTTCCAGATTACACTGGAAAAAAAAACAAAAACAAAAAAAAAAACCAAGGGGACACTGCTTTTCAAAACACATTAATAAAAAACAATGTAGATAATTTTTGTGTGGCTCTCAAATAGAATATATTATTTAAATTTAAAGAGTCTATTAAACTACATTCTGAATTGAAATTTTTTATCAACTGACATCCTGCAATAGATCATATCTATGTGGATGTATAGATATATTTTCATCACATACACACAGATATATATTCACATATAATATTTATATGTTCATGAAGAAATTCTGCTAAAAGGGCATAGTTACACTGGGTAGGGAAAAACAGCGTATTAGACAACTAAGAATCCTGTACTTCATATTAGCAATTATCTCACTAAACAGTGGCTTTGCTTATGCATAAGGAGGGAAAAAGAATCATATGTGAATACATTCTGAAAAACTACCATATCTCCATTTTTTTTAAAGCAGATCAAGAATTCAACTTTTCCTGGCCTCTTCTTTTTTACTGGCCAGTGAACATTCCCAGCAATCACAATTTGTCAAGGTTCAAACATGAGCTATCATTAACGGGCAATAATGGTCCTTCACAGAATCTACAGACTATTTTCTGAAAATATCACTGGTTTTACGATAGGGCAATGTTTCTGTTTTTGTTGCTAATTTAAAATAAAAATGTGTTTAATACAACTGATAAAAATCAAACATCTTATTGGTGACCTATTTGTATACAAACAACAGAGTGAGGTTTCGTTTTTGTTTTCTCTTTCTCTGTTGAAGTGACTAATGTAGTTAAAAATTCTAAGAATCAGTACTGTACAGAGGAGAAATTACAGCTAACATCTCTTAAACAGTACTTTTTTTTCAAAGTAGAGAAGCAGTACATCATATTTAAATGCACTTTCTACCATCGAGATAGTTCAGCAAGGAAATACCAAAGAGATTTATATCATTCATTACACTAAATATCTGAAAGGGGAAAAAAAACAATTAAGTAGAACACAGTATTAATAAAGGTAAAATAAAATGAATAAAATAAAATGAATATTGTAAAAGCCTCAAGTTATGACATCTAGTTAAAATCCAAATATAATGGACCATCACCATATGTATTCTTGGAGTTCTAATTCTTATCAGTCTTCTTGCATGAAAGATTACCTTGCAGTAATACACCAGTGACATTTCTAATATTAAATTCATTCAGACAGGAACATAATCCAAACTACCTTTTATCAAATTCCTCTCCAGAATCAATGTTGTAATTAAATGTCAAAATAACCATAATCAGTTGAATCATAAAACAATTTAAACTAGCAACCAAAATTGATTCATTATCAAAAATACAAAGAAACTGGCTGAGATAAAGCAGCCCAAGTACTGAGTTGTTTTGTTGTTTTTTTTTAATAGCATGACTGAGGTAGTAAGATGTCTTTCAGAAAATCTTAATGAAGCAACTTAAATTCTTCATGATGTGACTATTTGACAACTTGGGGCAAACAGGCTACAGCAAAATTAAAAAAGCAGAATATTTACACAATCCCAGAAGATTTACATTAACAGAATTATTCTTAAATGTAGCCAAAACATATTCCATTACTATCACTATATCATTTTAAGACACCAACAGACAATATAATATTCTCTTTCTACTAAATAATTTAGTGAAAAGAGGAAACCCTCAGACATCACAGCTGCAAAAGCAAGGCCCCTTCAGGCAACTTAGATAAAGCTGGAGGATGGCATGAGAAGGAGGTACTCAAGTCTTTACTTAAATTTGGTGTGGAAAAAGAAAATAAAAAGTGAATCCCTCAAGAAGTTACACCTGCAATCTGACTCTACCTGTGGCAGGAGGCAGTTCATATCTTTTTAAAACATATCTTAAATGGAATATAGAGCAAATTCACTCTTCAATTTATTTAAAACAAGTCATTTCACTTGCCAAGGTACTTTCCAATAAAATCAGGCAACATATATATAATATTGTGCTCTCTCATGACTAAAATTTAATCTGCATGACTAACAGGAAACAGTTAAACAGAATAAGCTTAACAGGAAAATCTCATTTTTAAAAATATTGTTAAAAAAAAAAGTTGAATCACCATATTGTACATGTGAGACTAACAGAACACTGTATATTATGCTGGAATTAAATTTTTTTTAAAAAGACTGTGATTGTTTTCTAGTCAACCTTTCTTGACTATTGTTAATCTGGGAAGCATTTCAGGTTTTCTGATTACAGAATCCTGACTCCTTGATGATACAGGGCAGGGGTCAGCAAACTACACAGGTCAAATCCATCCTGCACCTGTTTTGTAAATAATCAGGTTTTACTGGAACACAGCCACACTCATTTATTTGCATACTGTCAATGGCTGTTTTCATGTTACAATGGCAAAGCTGAACAGTTATGAGCAAAGATTAAATTATTATTTACCTGTATCTTCTGGGCATTTACAAAAAAAAATTGTTGACCCTTGATCTAGAAGAATCTCTAAATCAGTGGGTCTCAATGGAAGTACTACTGGCATTTAGGATGGAACAAGTCTTCATTGTACAGAGTTGTCCTTTACTGTGTACAACAGTGAGCATTTCTAGGTCCCAACCAGGATCTGCCCCACACCCCAATCATTATGACAGAAAATTTTCATTTTAAACATTCCTTGTAGACAGCACCATCCCACCACATTGAGTATCTTCTGCCTTAGACAAAAATGATATCACATAAGCCAAATCCAGCCAACCAAAATGTTTTGTTGAATCACACTCAGTTTTTATAAAATGTATGAGCCTAAATTCCTTTAGCTCAGGAACAACAAACTCCTTTTTTTGGTAAACAAAGACAGGAACTATATGGCTAGTGCGTGAAATATTTACTATCCGGCCTTTTACAGAAAAAGTTTGCCAATATCTGCTTTACACAATCCTCAGTACTCCCTATTTAATTATACTCAATTATTTTATTTACATAAACTGTCCTCTGTAAACATTTGCATGAGACCCCTGCATGGGTCAATCTTTCCTGCTATACTTCTCCTTTCTATACTATGTTGCTAATTATAAGCATAATTGGATTATCAGGTATAATACTGGGTTTTAAGCATTCCCCAAAGAATAAATAAAAATTCCATAAATACCCATTTTATGCTCTGAATATACAGTGCCTAAAGATCTGAAATAAGTTTAGTTTTACATTATTTAACTTGAATTTCGTATTAAGAAAGTATAAATAAATTATTAGGAATAGCTAAATAGATTAAAGCTTCAGATTTTCATGGCCATCTCTGATAATAAAAATTACCACAGGAAAAAAAATCACCATATTAAAAAATGTATGTTAAACAACCCTACTAGAATATTTCAAATCAAATGAAAACATAAAAGTAAAAGATAAAAAGCTCCATAAGAACGATTCATTGATTCATACTTACTCCTTCATTTCTTTAGATGGGGAATTACATGCAGGAAGGAATGCTGCTGGGCTACTTAGTTTATCCAGTGTACACGCTGTTCCTATGGCTCGTACCACTAACCCAGATTCACCTTCCAGATCAAAACACTGTAAGTACCCAACAACTGCATTTCCTCTCATTTCAAGCACTTTCAAGCCGATCTTCCTCTGCAGTTCACCTGCGAAAAAAGGGAAGAAAATGCATTCTGCTTTAGATCTTCACATTACATAATATAAAGCTGGATATGGTAGCAATGAAAAAAGTCAAAAAATCATAGATTTTTAGAACTTGAAAAGAACCTAAAAGATTATCTGCTCTAGCCTCCTAATTTCAGGGAGGTAAGACATTAACTAGTTGCATTTTACAGATGCAGCAAAATTAAGATTCACTCATTCATGCATTCATTTACCAAATAATTTTTGGTTGTGTACTATGTGCCTGGCATTCTTCCTTTCTTCTAAGTGCTAGAAATACAGAGGTAAACAAAAAAGATATATTATTTAATATATTAAATGACATTATATATTATAGTAAGTATAAATATATTTATAGTGATTTATAAATATTTAAGTATAATTGATATATTTCTAATATGATATAAATGTGTTTATATTTTATATTTAAAAACAAATTTGTTATATATAAATATAACATATTTATTAAATATAACATTTATACTCATTTATTGTCTGATATACATGTGACTATACATACATACATATATATACACATACATATGTACATATACATTTTAAATGAAAAACAAGTTCTTCAAAGAAAAAAAAAAGTAATGGGGTAAGAATGGCAGGAAGAAGTACAGGGAGCTAAAACATATTGTCAGAGAAGAACTATGAAAAGGAAACAAAAAACATTAGAGAGATTACCTAAACTCTGATTATAAATAAATGCTAGAGGAAGGAAAACTAGAACCCAGTTTCCTACTTCCTTGCTCAGGGTTCTTTCCACTATGCCACTTCTTGAGCACAAATTCCTTTTACTGCCTAGTTAAGAAGGAAGTATAAGCTTCTGGTTCAGATTTCCTCTTATAAGATGTCAACGTGGTACGTTGAGAAAGATTGGGCAAAGGTAGAGAATCAGTCATATGCAATTCATAGCCTTCACTGTAAAATTTCACATAGCATGTCAAAAGGAAGTGAAAATTTAACAGTGTTAAGTAAATCAGTAATGAAGTTCTTTCTTTTAAATACCTGACATTAAAGAAATGAGTCTCTGTCTGGCCTCATTTGATGCCCTTGGTGTACGAATTCGATCAATCCATTGATATTCTGGGTCTTCATTGACCACAAGCTCTTCTACAAAACCATGAATTATTACAGCTCTATAGCACTTTGGAATAGATGTTGCTGTTGAAAGAAATTGTCTATTATGCTTCTATTTATAACAAGGTTAAATTCAATTTTTAAAAAAAATGTTCAATTATATTCTTACCTTTTGGATATATAATACAAGAACACATTTACTGTGCTAATTTCAATGTAATTATAATAGTCATACTTCCAATCAGTCTTCTAAATTCCATATTGTTCTTAGAAATAATCATTTTCTGTAATAAGACCTCTTATTTTTCACATAGTAAAAACAGTAGATACAAATTATATGTTTATAATTTGGAAAACAGCCAGAGATAACCTTAGATAGCATTCAATACAAAGTTTAAAAACCAAAATGAATGTCAGCTTGGTAATCATTGTATAAATAGGTACAAAGTGGGTAATAAATACAAAAAACTTTATTCAAAGCCCTCTGAAAAAGTTCTTCCTTACAACATACAGTGCAGCCTCAAAAGTCAAAACCATTACCTTTCTGACATAATCTGAGGAGTCATACAGCCCTGTAAATTCCAATAATCTTTTTTTTTTTTAAAGATTTTATTTATTTATTTGAGAGAGAGAGACACAGCAAGAGAGGGAATACAAGCAGGGGGAGTGGGATAGGGAGAAGCAGGCTTCCCGCCAAACAGGGAGCCTGACACAGGCCTCTATCCCAGGACCCCGGGACAGCGACCCAAGCCGAAGGCAGACGCTCAACAACTGAGCCACCCAGGTGCCCCTCCAATAATCTATGGCCATATGGCCAACTGGTTCAGTAGTCACTATACTATTTAACAAACTCATTTAATATAAATAATACCAAATGTCGTTAGATTTAAAATAAGATCTAATTAGATCCAAAAAAGGGATAACCTAAAGAAAAACAAGCAAAACAATTAAAAAAAAAAAGAGGGGGGGGGGGACCTAAGAACACCTATCCAAAATTAGTCTCTTAAAATAGATATCCATGCCTTAATGCTAACTCAACTACTTAGGAGTTTTCAACCCAATTAATCCAGGCTGGCTATGACTGCCTACATCTGCCCAATGCCAGCCCATTTTTCATGGCACTTGAGGGACTATATCTGTAGATGATGCCTATTTAATTTTGGATAGCATCACAATATTTGGTTATAGTGCTCAGCACTTACCTTAACAATGTCTTATACTATAATACCACTAGAGGAGAGCCTGACGGGCTCAGTTGGTAGAGTGTATCACACTTGGATCTCAGGACTGTGGGTTTGAGCCCCACGTTGGATGTAGAGATTACTTAAAAACAAAATCTTTTAAAAAAATAAATAAAAGTAAAAAAATAAAATACCACTGGATTTTTCTTTTTTGACAGTTACACAAAGTTTAATATAGTCATATCTTCTACACATTAACAAAGCAACTTGTTCTAATTTGTAAAAGAAAACTTTAATTGGCAATATTCATCACTGTGAAATTAATAAGATAAATATGAGAAATTACTTTAGAGCTTGTTTTTCACAGAGATCGATCTACTGGTAGAAGAGGAAAACCTATGGGGTACCTGGGTGTTCCCTTCATTTAAGGGTCCAACTCTTGGTTTCTGCTCAGATCATGACCTCATGGGTCCTGGGATCAAGCCCCAAATCAGGCTCCTTGCTTAGTGGGGACTCTGTTTGAAGATTCTCTCCCTCTGCCCCATCCCCACCTGCATGTTTTCCCTCTCTCGCAAAAAAATAAATAAATCTTAAAAAAAAAAAAAAAAGCTGTAAGCTTCTCCATAAGTTGATGTCTGATAATAATGCTTTTTAACACTACTGCAGACTTCTACAAACTATACATGTCCACCCACCACAAATGGCTCCGTATCTGTATTACCTAATACAGATGGTATTAGATGGTCTATCTGAATTAAGTCTGATTATATAACATAACACATGTAGCCTCATCAAGTTTGTTTTCCCAAATGTAGATATTAGAGAGCATGGGATTTGTTTTCATTGATTGTGCAAGTACAAGTCCATCTCCCCCTACGCTGTTGCTGACTACTGATAACCAGCTGACATCAAGGTAGCACAGGCTACTGTTCAGATATAGTGCATCACTTAACTCTTTATAATATCATGCTTAATATATACACAATGCAACAAGGCAGTGATTTTCCTTCAGCATATGGCCTAGATGAACTGCAGACTCCTCCTATTCACCATATGGTATAGGTAAGTTTGGATATATTCCCTTAGTTTTTTGGTTTTCAGTTAGGACTATAGCAAATGCTATCACATATTGCATTTCCAGACCACAGTCACTCTGATCTCATTTCTGTAAGGATGAATTAATTTTTAGTATTCCTGCAAAACATATCCCACCCTCATTTTCAAACTTCTCTCCAGTCATTCTAAGATATTTCAGAGTTGTATTATTATGCAGTGCTTTTGAAATCAATTCTCACCTTCAGGCCCAATATTACCAACATAAGATTTAACTAAAAAAGATTAAGTTGTTTCATTAATACATGGATTCTTCATTGAAATTCTGGAAAAAATCCAAAATCTTCACCAGTCATTCTACCAGCAGTAAGCAACTGTTACCACCAATGTTTAGTGTGATTTCTTCCAGAGTCTGGAGTAGGGGCTAGAATATAAGCCAGAGTAGGGTCAGGAAGGGTGGTCTCCTTCCTGCTGCTCCACAAACTCCTCCAACCTCGTAGTCATGATAACCATGTATACCTCATGCCCCAATGGACTATTCTAACAAAAATTTCTAAGAACTTGTAAGAAATAGATTTCATTCACTTTAAAATCAAATAAATAGTCCCCAGAGCTACAGTAATTGTTTCTGAAAAATGGACAATTCTCTCTTAGGTATTAAAACCAAAGTATAATAGGTTTTCCATTAGCGTTCTGAAGTATTAATTTGATTACCTATATTTGACAATTAAGTACCCTGTTAAATGTGAAATAAAATGCATTTACTTACTACAAAAGAATTTGACTCCACACGACGATTGCCTAAATCGATTTAAATCATTGAAGAGGTCTACTTTGACAATTACATTGATTTCCCCACGGATACCTAAAATTTCAAAATGAAAATCAAGTTTTTACCTTAACAAAATAAAGCACAATTAAATAATCCAGCAAATGAATGCCAACTACAATTTTAAAATAACATCAATCATAATAGCAATGGTAACTTTTTTCCTAATTATTTTTACTCTAAGTAGTTTATTACATATTCTGAAGTACATATACACACTAGAAAATGAATAAGTCTCTACTTATTTGAATCAAGAGTAACTGCAAAGGAGCCACATTTGAACTGATGACAACAATGATGACGGTAACATCTGAGCACAGATAATGTTCTAAATGCCTTACGTGTAGTATCTCATAGATCTCACACCAACCCAGTAAGGTAATTTCTGTAGTATTACCATCCTCATGTTATAGAGGAAAACATTAAAGTTTAACGAAAGTTAAATAATTTGCATAGTGTCAATAGTTAAATAGTAGAGCTAAGATTAGAAGTCCGATCTTACATGGTCTTAACAACAAATGCGAAGAACCTCATTTAACAAAAGCTTTATTCTTTTCAATGAATATATTAAGTTAAAATGAGCTAAGAAATTCCAAAAATAAGGGTTTTTCAGAATATGCCCTAATAAATAAAAATGACCCGGTCTCGTCCTCTAAGCAAAGAGAGACCCTAAAAGTAGTAGATCAGAAAGGAACAGAGACAATAGACAATAACAGTCACCTTACAGGCAATACAATGGCACTAAATTCATATCTCTCAATAGTTACCCTGAATGTTAATGGGCTAAATGCCCCAATCAAAAGACACAGGGTATCAGAATGGATAAAAAAACAAAACCCATCTATATGTTGTCTACAAGAGACTCATTTTAGACCCGAAGACACCTCCAGATTTAAAGTGAGGGG